CCTTTTTCTCTCCTTCTTGTTTCCGTCAGTTTTTTGCGCAGTTACATACCTTATGGATCAGTACCAACTAGCCCAACTTACCATTCTTCTGAAGCCCAGGTGGTCGAAATTTCCGGAGCCCTCCACTACGGCGTCTCTCATATTCATATGGTGGTCTTGGAACGTTAAAGCCTACGTATCAATCTATCTATCTATCTAGCCGCCTACGACTTTTCGCTTTCCTGGCCGTTTCGGTGATGGTATTGATAACCAAATTTGGTAAGGCATAACATGACTGCATGAAAAACATATTTGACTAGTCAGAAAACTAAATCACCATATGTATGTCGCGATTCCCATGATTTATATTTCATGGTCCTGCAGCTCTTGCGGGATTTTGTTCACAAGGCATACTGCAATACTCGTATGGTATGGCATGATTGCATGACAAACACAAGCGACATACCCTAGCATGAAGATCATGACATGCGTATATTGTAACAACATGACTAGATGCCACGCTCATGGTGCGCTCGCGGCCGTTTTGCTGGCGTAACATATACCAAGTTTGGTATTACAGTACATGAATGAATGACCAAGGTATGTGACTGGTGCCCACATGATAATCATTAGATGTGTGTCATGTAGCAATATGACTAAATGCCATGCTCTTGATGTGCTAGCGGCAATTTCTCTAGCTTCACTTATACCAAATTTGGTTTAGGGGACATGAATGGATGATGAAGTTAAGTATACTGGTGCAAACATGATAAGCATGAGATGCGTGTCATGTAAGAACATGACTACATGCTACACGCTTGATGCGCTCGCGGCCGTTTTGCTAGCTTAACAGGTAGCAAACTCAGTATTACGCGACGCGAACGGACGACATAGGCAAATGACACATCCAAACATGGTAATCACGACATGAGTGTCATGTAGCATGACTACATGCCACACTGATGATGCACTCAGGGCCGTTTCGGTAGCTTCACATATGCCAAATTTGGTATTGTCGCCAATGAATGACGAAGGTATGTGACTGGTGCAAACATGATAATCATGAGATGCGTGTCACGTGAGAACATGACTACATGCCACCTTCAAGGCGCCGATACAGTTTGACGTGATGCAGTGCACGTGCTCGCCGGCGTTCATTTCGTCGCGTCACGCCGGCGTTGCCACGCCAGGTGCCATTCCTGCCATATACTCGGAGGCACGCACTGCGCTGCGTTGCTTTGACGCATGTGTGTTTCAGCGCGTCCGGCGTCTTTCCGTCACGAAGAAAGGGGGATGCAGTGTTGTCTGCGTAACGCATCGGGGCGAAATGCAGCATGGCACATTTTGCGCCGGTTCCCGTCGGGCCGCGCTGACGGACACTGGTCCCGCCTGGCATCAAGCGTACGCTTTTCTAACTAGCGTCGCTGTTCCCAGCGTGCGCACACGTCAACGTTACATTGGAGTATATTGTGCCCTTCATGATGCACTTGTGGCCGTTTTGCTAGCTCCACATATACCAAATGTTTTGTTACGTGGCGTTAATGAATGACGAAATATATGACTGGTGCAAACATGATAATCCTAACACGCGTGTAATTTAAGAACTTGACAACATACCGCGCTCATTTTGTGCTCGCAACTGTTTCGCTAGCTCCACATGTACTAAATTTGGTATCACGTGACGTCAAGAGATGACGAAGGTAAACAGCACATCCAAACATGATAATCATGACACGGAAGTCATGTACGGCATCATTTATCTTCAGCTCGTAACGTTTTGCTGATTTTAAAGTCACATATTAACATTTATCATTCGTGCTTTGCATATCATCAATGCCCACTGTACGTGGGATCTGCCAATTTTGCACTGTGAGGCCTCTGTTATGCTTTTATGTCTAACTCTGAGTTTTCTTACCTAATTAATGGCAATCCCGTATCTAGTTTTGAATTTTCTAAATATTTAGGTGTAGCCTACACATCTAACCTTTCTTGGACTACCCACATCACCAACATCTGCAGTGACGCCTCACGATCATTAGGCTACATACGCCGCAATCTACGTAAGACGCCCACAAACATACGTGCTTTAGCTTACGTAACATTTGTTCGCCCTCAGCTGGAATTCGCTTCTGCAGTTTGGTCCCCTCATTTCAGCTATTTAACTAACATGCTAAAATCGATCCAGAATAGAGCCGCTAGATTCATCTCACAAAACTACGATCATAGCGCAAGCATAACACAAATTAAAAAAAAACTTATCACTTTCCCTTTTGAGCAACTGACGTGATCTAAACCTCTTTTCATAATTCCATAAATAAGTACATGAAACAAGGCCATTATCAATGACATTGCAAACATCTGCATTCACATCAAAGAGACTAAATAATCATGTTTCAATCGCACGCATATACGGTAAAACATACATTTTTAACTCATCTGCACTCCTCCGTGTCATCCACATGTGGAACAGCTTTCCAGATGAAATCGTAACAGAACGCAATCGGGAAAAATTCCGTCACCTTCTACGCACCCATTTACAGGAATAACTGCTCGTTTTATTCATATCAAAATCGGCACCTATGCGTTTATTCACTACTAGTATCGCGCTTCTTTTTCTCTTACTTTAAACTTATTTTGTTTGATGGTTTGTATACTAACATGCCATTCAGTTCTGTTGTGTTTTATTCAGCGACGTTTTCTTTTGAATAATGGAAAGTCTTTTCACAATTTGGGCTTGTTTTTTTAGCTTGTTTTAAATCATTATCTAACGCGTATACTCACTTGATGTTCATTGCCGTTATATTCCTATTAAAATTATTATTATTATTTTCTTATTCTTCTTACTGTTAGGACTTGTATAATAATTGACATTTAGTTCGTGTTATTGTTTGTATGGAAAGTCTACCAATTCATGTATGTATTCCTTTCGGGCTCCCCTTACACAATGCCCTGTTGAATCTGTAAGGTATTTTGAATAAATAAATAAATAAATAAATTACATGTGCCAATGTCACCATCTCCGCCACTCTTGATCACTGCAATTCATCTACAGCCAGTGAACTGGCTCTACTAAAGGCTGCTTTTAACTACATAGTGGACCAGACTACTAAGTCTTTGGTCCTTTTTTCTGGCTCATGAATGGTGCTGCATTCTCATAAGTCTCCACGCACGCAGGACCGGCTCGCCATTGACGCTGCCAAAGGTGGACTGGACACTTCCACACAAATTGACCAGAAATACCTTTCTCGAGGCAGGGCTCTGCGACATTCATGTTGGCACACACTTGGCTCCTCCTCCAGTGACTCATCTGGACAGACGCTAGTCCCCAGTATGGGCCTCAGTAGAAGATCGATCTATCGTATCACTTCGGCATGCCGCGAGATCTTTAGAGGCAAAACGAAATATGCTTACACCACATCCAATTAAACTTCACATATTGAAATTACTTTAGCAATAATATTGCACTGCAGGACTCACCTTTGTGTGTTCAATGTAGCGTCCTGAAATATATTAATCATGTCCTCTGTGAATGCACACTATACGCCCCAGAGCAACCGTCTTTGAAGGCAGTGTACATCTACAAAGGGACTCGAACTTGGCGTTGGCACTTAATCTAGGCCCATGGCAAAGCAGCTCTAGTGCGTTACAGGTCACAAAAGTGCTGCTGACTTTCTTGCGGGCCACAAGCGTGAATGATACATTGTAAATAGTGCAGTTTACGCGTGTTACTGTATGCGTTATGTGTTTATTACTGTGTACTCATGAATCATCACCCAGCACCTGCAGTAGCATATTAGGCGAAAAGCCAGACAAACGTCTCCAGTTCATCATTAAATTATTTATCTTCACCTTTAAATATTTATTTTGTTCTTGAGTTTATTACATAATATGAAATGTTATTAGTGGCTCAGCAGAACACTGGAGTAACACTTTTTGAGTTATTTGCTTGCCTTCATTGGTTTTTTTGGTACTATATTGTCACGGGGCAATATACAGTGAACTCTCACATGAACGAAACTAAAAGGACCCAAAAATAGTTCGTGTAACTATAAGTTGTGTAAACAGCATCGGCCTCAGCAGATGCCAAGTGAGAAAAAGTAATATGAAATTAATTTGAACACAATTTTGTTATTTTTTTCGATTGGCGTCCTTAAAGCGCAAAAAGGGAAAGCTCTTCACGTAGTGCGTTACTGTGCATGGCCTCTTGCACAGGTTGCTGTTGGCGACACAAAGTCTCTCAACTCTGATATATTCCACAGCCTCAACTTCCACAGCCTAAGTTTCTGATGCCCACAGAAAACAACTATTTCTCAATCTAATGGATCTGCGCAAGTACTGAAACACGTGGCTCATTTTTGTCTACTACTTGTCCACTTCGTGCAATCGAAGCATAATTATGCTTCGATTGCACTATGTGTACAAGCGATGTTTTTTCACTGGCGTGCATGGCGAATAGGGAAAGCTCGTATCGGCTACGCCAGAGCTGCTTTGCACAAATCTGAGGTGATCTCAAAAATTAGCTCGGCTCCGCACATAAAGTTTGTTCAACTGAACTATTCACTTATACGGAATTCATTTACCTTCAAAGTTTTCCCCCAGTTTGCATAACAAAACCACCGGGGATTTTCTAAAACTTCGTTTTTATTAAATATTTCTTAAAGCAAGCTTTGTACAATTGAGAGTTCACTGTATAGAACGAAACGTTATCACTGTGTGAGCGCCACCTGCATTTTGTGCTTCATCGCTTTAGTAAATATTCTATTTTATTTTTATAACCCTAAGGATTTTTTACGTTCTATTTTTCATTTTTACTTTTTTAAATTATTGGGAGAAGGTACAAACACAGAAAGCTCGAAAGCATTTCTCCAGCACTTTTTTGCCACTGAGGCTTGTCGTGTGAAGACCGTGAAAAATTCCCGAAACCATGACTTCTTTTGTAGTCTTGCATGAGGTGGATGAATGCAAAGCAACAAATGTTTTACTTGAGGGATATGTTTGTACAGAGTTAGGTGAACACTCACCCATCTTAAGAACAAAGTTGTTGAAACTCTCTCTGTTGATGTTGTTGAGAGTGTCTTTGAGAGCCAGCGCAAAATCTGTCAGCTGCGCCAGATGGCCCCACCTCTCCTGCATGCTGGCGCCATCCTGATGGTACATATAGTAGGGGATGAGGGGAGGAGAGTAAATGGCTGTAGAGTTCTTGAAATGCAGTGGGTTCCCATATTTGTATTACTCGTCCTCAGCTAGTATTCTTAATGCGGCACCAAACAGCAATTCAGATTCTTACAAAACTGACATCGTAAATAACAGCGCAACAGGGTTTATATGGACAGAAAGAAGAAAATCACACAGTGGTGAATTGAAAACAGACTTTCTTGAAAAAATGAATAAAAAACCGAGGCCTGCGTGGAACGCACAGCACAGTTACAACGAAAGCAGGAAGGGTGCCATTTGTAAATTCTTTTTAAACAATCTTTAGGTAAATGCTACAAGCACATTTGCAGGTACCCACTACGCCATAAACCATCATAACTTTTGTGCAGTACGGAGGCATTCACTATGCTATTCATTGTCACTCCTCGAGAAGTGCGGTACCTGCTACACACTTGCAAGCAACTTTGTGTATTTTGATGCTGTCGCTGACAATGACAAAGAATTATGCCTGAATCTTTTGTAGTGGGTTGGGGCATCCAACCACCCACTCGATACACAATTCGCATAGCGAGACAGGTGATTGTTTTGTTGCTGTTTTCAAGCGCTTCATTATACACGTAATAATGTCAATCTTTACCCTACACTAAGCATATCTGGGGCAAGTTTGCAACAAAGTTTCCGGCACCACCGTAGCTCAGTGGTAGCTGACTATTATTCAATTAGTTTTGTCCCATTTTCCGCAACAGTGGTTACGGATACGTGTGGGGGCAGCGGCTCACAACTACGATGCCAAGAATGACCTTCGTTGTTAACTAGTAACAGCAGTCGTTGTAAAAGAAAGAACATGCACTGATACTTTTGAGCCGCACATTGGTTGCGAGACAACCTGATTCATGGGTTCGCTAACCTATAATTGTAGTCTTCATCTAGAAGAGTGCTTGAAAGATGACTCATGCACTTGAATCTGATAAAAAGTTACATTTTCACTGCATGGGCGAAACAATGAATACAATAGCAACAACTTGGAATGTAACGCTGAGAATGGCAAGCAGACTGAAACGCCTAATGCGCTGCTCACGCATAAGTGATGCCCAAAAATAACACACACAGGATGAGAGCGAACTAACAACGGAAACAGCTCAACACTTAACACAGTGTTTAAACAAAAACAACGAAAAACCGTAATCACAGGCACGAAAGAGTGTGAACTAACAAGTGCCCAGTTGGCACTTCCCTGTGTCCGAAAAGCTCGCTCTTTTCGCAAACGGGTTCTGTGCAGCGAGAAAATTATCTTTGTGCGCCCGGCAACTACAATGCAACCGTTCGGTGAAAGCCCAAGGCGTAAAATACTACCGCAACGCTAGATAAACGTGCACACGCTCAGGCGCCCCCCCCCTCCTCTGGTGAGGCAAAATACGCTTGGGACATGGGGCCGCGGCGTCACGACGAACGTGGCGCCGACCACGCTCTTTGCGCCATTTCGCTGGTAATGCTGCAAACACGCTGGTATTTCATCCTTGGCCTGGCAAAAGCCTAATGAGGTCGTTAAAGAGTACAACTCATTACAAGCACGCGCCAAGCGTGACTACTATTCTACTACCATACCAATTATGTCGCATTCTCACCCGCGGCATTTTTGTAAAGCGATTAAGCCTGATAATAAAAGTGCCATTTCACTGTGTGATGAAACGGGGACATCCATTGCTGATTCTCAAGTTCCCGACGCACTGAATCTAGCGTTTTGTTCAGTGTTCATAAAAGAAAGTACAGATGCATTACCACACTTTCCATATTTCAATTTTCGTCCAATGGAGGGTATTGAATTCAGGGCAAAGGGTATTGTCAAGGTAATTGTCTCTCTGAATTGACTCCTCATCCTGCGGTATTGACGGAATGAACGCGAAAGTACTAAAAAGTACAAAATATGCGTGCAGTGCGATTCTTTGTATTATTTTCCAGCACTCATATGACACAGGTACAGTGTCAAATGACTGGAGGACAGGGAAGGTCATTCCAGTCTTCAAAAAAGGTGACCGGTCTTCCTCTGAAAAATACTGTCCCATTTCCCTCACCAGCATATGCTCCAAGATCATGAAACACGTCATCTACTCTCAAGTTGCTCATTTCCTAAGCTCGGAGTACTTCTTTCATCCAAATCAACATGGTTTCACGAAGAGTCACTCATGCGAATCTCAACTTGCTCTATTCACTCAAGACATTCATTTAAACTTAGTAACATTCCAACCGATGCTTTATTCTTAGATTTTAAAACGGCCTTTGATAAGGTTCCTCATTCTCGTCTTTTGTTGAAATTGTCGAACCTAAACATTTGTCCGCTTGTTCGCAATTGGATTGAGTGTTTCTTAACCAACCGGAAACAGTTCGTATACGCTAACAACTACGCATCATCCACTTCACCAGTTCTGTCTGGCGTGCCCCAAGGCACTGTTCTAGGGCCGCTCCTCTTCCTAATCTACATCAACGACCTGCCATCTACTGTAACCTCTGAAATACGTATTTTTGCAGATGATTGCGTCGTGTACCACCATATCAATAACTCCTCCGACTTTTGTACTCTTCAGGAAGACCTCCTTCGTATTCAAGACTAGTGTACCACATGGCTGAATTCACTGAACACCAGTAAGACCATGAACATTTCATTCCATCGTCGACCCAACTATGCACCCTCCAAGTATAAGATTGATAACAGCATTATAGCTAATGTGCATTCCTTCAAGTACCTAGGACTTCACCCGTCTCAAGACTTATCTTGGACGGATCATATTACCCACATTATCAATTCAGCGAACAAAATGCTTGGTTACCTTTGCCGAAACATTTTCATGGCTCAGTCACATGTAAGATTACTTGCATACATAACGCTCGTGCAACCTAAACTGCAATATGTCTCTGCTATCTTTGGCGCCCACCAATCTAATCTCACTAAAGCTCTCCAACCAGTCCAGAACCGTTCCGCCAGATTTATACTTTCTCAGTACTCGTATCACACAAGCGTTTCGTCTCTAACGTCTAAGCTGGACCGAATCTCATGCCTTTGCCTCTACCACAGATTCTTTCACACCATGCCTCGTGACAGTCTTGATTAAACTCACTCATCGTACATCCTGAACAAGCCACCTGAACGCGTTAATTTCACCCCGTACCCGCACCACTACATTTCATCAGTCGTTCTTCGTCAGAACTGCCCGAGACTGGAATGGCCTTCCGAAAGATGTTGCACTTGTCCGTAATGCAGCACGCTTCCGATATACTATCGAACATACATGAATTGATGCCTTTGGACTTGCCTTTGTGAAATAAATTGTCTTACTTTTATTGCCGCCATTTCTATCTCCATTTTGTATTTTAGTCTTATTGATGTTTATTGTTTTCTCTTTACTTATGATGTCTACCCCTCATGTAATGTCTCTCGGGACCCTTAAGGTACCAATAAATAAATAAATAATATGAATATTTTCCCTCACATCTGAATCGCTAGCTGTAAGTGGTGTGTATAAATGCCTTGCCTGTTTGAACGTTAACGCACTAGAGCCTTCGTGGCTCTGTGGCTAACACCACGATCTGAGGAGCGACATGTCAGACGTTCCATTCCGCCCGCCGAAAGCCTTCTTCTGGATTAGTTTTTCTTGTGTTTCAATATATATGGATACGTATACATATACGATGACTGACGGCGGCATCAAACGCTGACACCAGCGGCAAAACCAGCCGAAAGTGTCACATAATTACTGTCGTAATAAACATTAAGGCATTTTCGAACCAGAGTGGTGAGAATCCTGAATGAAGTGTTTAGGTGGGCATCCTTCTTTTGTTTCTCTTTGCTTTGCTTCCCTTTTTTCGTTATTTGTATCCATCTTTCTTTCTTGTTCTCGTTTCCAGTTTCTTTCTTCTTATTTCATTTGTTTGTAAGTTTCTTCACATTTTTTCTGCCTGCCTCTTTCTATTTCTACCATGCCTCCTCTTTCAATTTTCGCACGGGGTTCCTGTTGTCTTATTTTCCTAACCACAGCACTAATGTCCCCATTCTCCCTTCCGTTAGCGCAGGGTAGCAAAGCGGATGCTCAAATTTCTAGTTAACCTCCCTGATCTTCCCTCGTTTTATTCTTTCTCTCTCAGTATCCACACTTTATATCGCCATATGTGCTCAGAGAACAAAAGGAAGAAGACTTCTCTTTGATGCGAGCGTGCGCTCACTATGCTATGGCTGGCTAAGCTATATGTATAGTTTTTCGGCGTTAATATTCTAACACGAAGGATAATAAAAGGAAGAATCGTGGTACGATCATCATCAATATACCGAATAACATTAAGACTTTTGTTTGCGATGAGCTCGTACTTAATATGCTACAGCTGGAAATGGTATACGTGGTTTTGAGTGTGTTACGTCAAGCGACACCGACAGCTTACAACGGCCTGGCCTACTAAGGTGCTTCGCCCCGCCGTGGTGGTCTAGTGACTAAGGTACTCGGCTGCTGACCCGCAGGTCAAGGGTTTGAATCCCGGCTGCGGCGGCTGCATTTCCGATGGAGGCGGAAATGTTGTAGGCCCGTGTGCTCAGATTTGGGTGCACGTTAAAGAACCCCAGGTGGTCGAAATTTCCGGAGCCCTTCACTACAGCGTCTCTCATAATCATATGGTGGTTTTGGGACGTTAAACCCCACATATCAATCAATCAACGTGCTCCGAACTTAGCAAGGCTTCGACGCACACCCACATAATCGGCATTAGGCTGCCAAATGAAACGTGACAGCTGCTTCCGAAAGAGTCAACTCATGCTCTCGTTGTCCTAGGCTTAGTCAGCGCCTTGTTCTGTCAATGTATTCCTGCCTCTTGAGAATGAAACGGTGGTAATCATGGCAATAGTGCGACAAACATATTTCTCCACAGCAATGGAGACACACATGTCCCTTTCATAAGAGTATGAAAGTTGGCCATGTTGGCGATGCATAACTGGGGCCGTATTCACAAAA